TTTTTAATTCCGTCCTTGATGTATTTTTGTTGAGGCCGATCGGGCAACAAATCTAACCTCTTGATTCTTTATTCTCGTTCTCATATTGTATGCTCTAGATAGTCGTTGGTGATGAGACTCTTGCTCATTGATATGCCACCCATTCATGTGAAAGCACTTGCTCTCTCTCTCTCTCTCTCTCTCTCTCTCTTTGGAATCGAACAAGCATGGAATTCCCATCACACTCAGCTCGGCCAACTCAAAAAGATGTTGCCAATGAGTGCCATCCCCTACCTACTCTACTATACCTCACACCCTTACGTATCCAACTATCTGCCTGCAACGCACATAACTTACGTGGTCTCGAAGAATATGCTGGTCTGATGGATTCCCCCGTTTCCCGGGTATCGCTCGTGGACTTTCCAGATCGGGACCCCGACAACCTCACTTCTTCTTCTTCTTCTTCTCCTCGTCAACTTATTATTAGAATGAGCCCGGCCATCTGGCGTTGATATGGCTAACCTGAAAATCTAGCCTCGACAACGCTAATCTGCTCTATGATAAACGAACATGTTCCCTTATAAATGGCCCTGCCCCCTTTCTCCGGTCGGAATTACGTGCCTTTTCGCTGATAAAAGCCCCCCCTGTTATCATAAGAGAAAAGGTGGAAAGGAACAAGACTCTCAGTTTCCCCTTCGAGACTATGTAATGGATCTTTGTAGATCAAGTAGATCAAGCCAACTGAATGATTACATTGACCCCATCGCAACTCTCATCCTCCACCAGTAATATCAACTCTCGTCGACGTAGTTTCTATAGCCTCTCTCATCATATCTTGCATCATCTACGGCGACATGGTCACCGTCGGCGTCCCCCCTCCCGCCCTCCACTGCGAAGCTAGCTTCGAAATCCTCTTCTGCTGCAGGATCCTGCGCACCACCCTCGTCGTGTCCTCGTCCCCCGTGTTGAGCAGCGCGTCCACCACCGGCCACACCCGCCCGTCCTCCCTCGCCATCGCCTGCTCGACCAGCACGCTGATCCATCGCGACGACAGCCGCGCTCTCGTAATTCCGCCGGCCAGCCCTTGCCTCGTGAACCGGAACGCCAGGTCCATCTCGCCCGCCTCGGCGCACTTTGTAATCAGCAGGCTCAGTGACGAATTCGTCTGCTTCGGGTCCTCGTCTTCGGAGACTACTTGGTCTGCGTACTCCTTTGCAAAGTACTTTGCCGTGGCCTCGTCAGCGCTGTGGATGAGCAGCGTCTGGATCATCCTCGCGTTGGGCGGCTCCGCGCCGCAGAGCTTGGCCCGATCCCGGTACAGCGAGAGAGCCCTCTGGCTGCCGTGAGTCTGGGCCAGCGCCTCAATCACGGCGGCTGCGGCCGCGTGAGGCACAGGGCGTGCACCGGCTGCCTCCCGCACCGCCGCCTCGGCGCCGTCCAGGAGCTCCGGACGGCTCCTGAGGAGCGCGTGCAGCCTCCTGGTCTGGCTGCGCCCGACCCTCAGGCCGCTGTCTTCCATGATGCCAAACGTTCGGATGGCCGCTGTCAGGTCTCCGCTGCCGACAAAGGCCTCGACGACGGCCTCGTAGTGGTGCGTCTGGGCTCTGATGCGCTCTGACGCCATGGCCAGTGCCTCTGACGCGAGCCGGGCATCTGCGTTCCTGGCCGCCGTCCCCAGCACATTCTCGATGATGCCGTCCGACGGCTGCACCAGGTGATTCTGCACCACCGAGAGCCAGCCGAAGAGGGTGCCCGCGTGGTGATATGCCTGGCTGCACACGTCCAGGGCGTAGTATGACAAGCTGATGACAACGGGGTCGGTGCTGCCGCCGCCGCCCATGTTCTTGCGTCTGTAGAGAAGCTGCAGCATTTCGTCCAGGAACCCGTGCCTCCCAAACACCAGGATGAAGATGTCGTACACCCAGGCGTCGAGCTTGGCCCCTTGCTCAACCATCTCCGTGAGTCTCGCGTACGCCAGCTCATACTGCTCGTCCCGCAGCAGCCCCACCACCACCGTCTGCTTCACTGGCGTGTCGATGGTGAACCAGTACTCTTGCATGATGTGCAGAATCTCCATGCGCATGGCGTAGTCCGGGTGGTTCATCAGCGCTCGCAGCGCGCCGTTGCACAGCTCCGCCGTCGGCTTTATCCCCTGCTCGACCATGTCGTCCAGGAGCCTCCGGAGGCCGTCGACGGAGCCTCGAGGATCGGCCATGGCGTCCATCATGCACTCGTAGATGAAGGGCGTGAGGGGCCGGTTCTCGACACGCACGAGATGCTGCACCAGCTGGACGATTCGTAGATGCGCGTCCACTTCCTGGCCGCTGGCCGGCGCCTCTTTCTTGACCTTGCGAAGCCAAGCCAGTGCTGCCATGATCTCGTCCATGGTGCTCGCTTTGAGCGCCTCCTCTGATGGCGCCGCGGGGGAGAGGAGCCTCTCTTTCCAGGACCGGGACATGGCGTCCAGGGATATGCTTCCATAGTCGTCATCTGCATGTTGCGCCTCACTTGGCTGAGACGCTGTCTGAGAGGGAGCCTGTGATGAGTCTTGACCTGTGATACCACCTGTCGATGCAAAGCCAGAACTCGTCTCGTAGCACCGCACATGCACCGGCACCGGCCTCGCCCTCGCCCTCGCCCTGGCAGCAGCTTGTCGCCATCCCGCCGCTCGCGTGCCAGACAAGTTCAAGCTCTGTCGCCGAAGCGCCGTTCGCAGCGCCAGCTGATCAAACGACGGGCACAAGCAGCGCCACAGCCCGTCATACAGCAGTTGGCCGCGCTGCATAGTCGACAGAATGGACTATGTTGCGACAGCTTCAAGTTCCTCAAAGAACGAGGCTGAAGGCTGAGGCTGAGGCTGAGGTTGGCAATTTCAAAGGTGGAGGCTCAGAATAATTTTTGGCGCGGAAAGCCTTCCGAAAAAGGCTCCAATGTACCCTCCCACCCGCAAACCGGTACGGCGGTACTTTGTCTGTCTTGCTTCCGGGACACGGGTCATGCACATGGCGGGGTTCTTCCACATGCATCCGCCCAAGCTTCGATTCTAAACCTCCCGTCACCAACAAACGAACTCAGACAAACCTCCAACCCACGACAGCCTCGCCCTCCTCCTCGCCGCGACACACCCGCCAACCCAAAAACAACCGCATACACGCCAAACATCTCAGCTACCCCCATCGCCCACCAGAGGCGCGAATCCACCCCAATCATGGTACGCCTGACGTTGCCTCGTTCTTCAGCCTCGTCCAGTCCTCCCCCATCACTAACCCCAAATCAAAACCGCAGCTTCCCCTCGGATTGCTCAACGCCGCCCAAGGCCACCCCATGCTGGTCGAACTCAAGAACGGGGAGACTCTAAATGGACACCTGGTCATGTGCGATACTTGGATGAACCTCACCCTCAAAGAGGTCGTCCAGACGAGCCCGGTGCGCTTACTCTCTCCCCCCCCTCTCTCTTTCTCTTCTCTCTTTGCTCTCCCCTAACTAGCATTGCCATTATTCTTCTAACATGACCGTATCGTGTATTCAGGAAGGCGATAAGTTCATGCGTCTCCCAGAAGTCTACGTCAAAGGCAACAACGTACGTTGCCCCCCTTATCACACTGAACACCTCAAAGCTCTCTCTCTATCTCTCCCCCTCTCTCTTACCCATGGGAAAACAAACCTCACAACTCACCCTCCTTGAAAAAAACAGATCAAATACCTCCGCGTCCCCGACGAAATCATCGACCAAGTAACCGAACAGCAAAAGAACCAACAAGGCGGCTTCCGCGGCGGTCGCGGCGGCGGCGGCCACCACAACCAGTCAAGAGGCGTCGACCACCATCACTCCGGCGGCGGTCGCGGAGGCGGCGGCGGCGGTGACAGGGGTCGCGGCGGAAGGGGTGGAGGCAGAGGGCGCGGTGGAAGGGGGGGACGTGGCCAGTAAAAGAAGAAAGAAAGAAGAAGAAGAAGCAAGGGGGAAAACGTTAAAGCGAAGCGATCGAAGCAACGAAACCGAAACGATGAGCGAATAATGTTGACGAACGGGATTTGAGAAGCCATAGGATTTGGAGAAGAAGGTAATGAGGAAGATGAAGGGAGGATGTGATAGTGACGTGCAGTACTATCATGTGCTTATTATCACGGTCAGCAATGGAAGAAAAGACAGGTGAATGGACGGCGACTCTTCACGCGAAATTCGACAGCGGCTGGCGGCAGGCAACTACGACGATAGGATTACTCGGGCAGAAACTGGTTCAACGTTACATGCACGACGTCCTCCGATGCTCTCTGTGTCGCCTTTGGATACGGAAGCTGCTCATTGTAAGCGCTGTCATGAGTTAGGGTACATAGAGGCACTGGGCGTTCTGACCACGTCGTTGGGGGGCTTCATGAACCGTAAGACAGCATCACGAAGCGGATGATGGATGTCGACATCATATATTCATATAAAAAGAAGAAAAAAAACTGGAAATTTTCTAATCGACCGTCTACAAGACCATCCATTTCAACCAATGACTTACTACTCATTAATGCCTCATAAATCTAATGCAACTGCTTCGTTGCGTGTCATCATCCTTGGATACCCATCAATGCTGAACCAATGGAGCCATCCTTTTCCTGTGCTTACACCAACGCCCTTGATTCAAGCCAGCCGTTCCATTCTAAATACTATAAAAGAAAGCCATCCGTGACGGCCCTTAGAAGTGGGCAACGGCCACGGCAACGGCCTGCTTGTCAGCATGCGAGATGGAGACGGAGACCTCCTTCACGCCGGCTTGCTTAGCAGCAGCAGCAGCGTCACCATGAAGCTGTGAAATCAAATGTTAGCAGATGCTCTTTCATACATACACGAGTCACAAAAACTTACAGAAACAACGGGTGCGCCAGTGTCGTCCTTGAGGATCTCAATGTCCTTGAGGGCAGCGCCAGCTCCCTTGCTGGCAACACCAAGTGCCTTGAACACGGCCTCCTTTGCGCTCCACCGGCCGGCAAACGAGCTCTGCGGGCTAGGAGCGCTCTTGCAGTAGGCAACCTCCTGGGGGGTAAAGTTGCGCTCAATGAACGTGTCGTTGTCGATGTTGATGGCGGCAATGTCCTCGACATCCACGCCCACGTTGCTGTTCTTGCCCGCCACCTTGTGCGCGAGCGCCTCAATCACCTGCTGCGTCTCCTTGGCGACGGTCGGAGAGACAGTCTTCTCGGACGCCTTCATGAAGTTGGGCGGGAACTTGAGCTCTGCCGTCTTCTTGTCCTCGGCCACACGAGCATCGGGGTTCATCAGAACCGCGCTGAGCTGGTCGTCGGTGTAAGGCGGGTTGGCCTTGGAGACAAACAGGGCGTTGTTGATCATGCCGTTGTGGAAGAAGCGGTAAGCCTTCTTCTGTCGGGACTCAACCTTGGCACGGTACGCGTCGTACGTCTTCTCGTCCAGGGTGGCGAACAGGTACTTGGGGTGAACGCCGACGGCCTGGGCTCCCTTCTGGCCGAAACCGAACGAGGTGAGCGAGAAGGCCTTGACACCGTCGGTCTGGATGCTGCGGCTGGGGTAGACAATCAGGTCGTAGTTCTCCATGATGGGGTCAATGTTGTCGGCATTCCGGTTGCCAGGGACCAGGCCGGTGTTGAGGATCTGCAGACCACCGTTCATCATCCAAGCACCAGCAGCACCCTTGGGGTGGCCGGTAAGGTACTTCTGGAAGACACCGAGGATGGCGTTGCCCTTGCTTCGGCCAAGGTGGCGCAGCTGCTGGCAGATGGCCGACGACTCGTTCTTGTCGTTGGCGCCCGTGGACGTGCCGTGGAACGAGGCCACCTTCAGGTCGTCGATGGTGAGGCCCCATGTGGCAAGGGCTCCGCGGAGAGGAGCGATGCTGGGGTCGTTCTTCCAGAAGTTGTTGCCCATGCTTCGGAGGAGCTCCTTTTCTTGTCGGACGGCCTCCTTCTGGATGTGCAGGATGCGCTCCTGGGCGTACTCCTTCTCGTCAAAGACACCGCCCTGGGCCTTCATGGCCTCAATCTCATCATGAAGGAACTCCAACTCGGACTCTTCCCACTGCTTGATCTGCTTCTTGCGACGCTCAATCTGCCTGCGACGGTAGTTGATGTCAAGCAGGGGCGACGGGAACTTGCCGGGATGCTCTCGCGCGGAGGTGAGAACACCCTGACCAGGAGCAGGGACGGATCGTCCGATCTTGTCGGAGGCGGTGGTGGTAAAGGCAAGGATACCGTGGATGGGGACTCCCATATCCAGGGCCAGCTGAGCAGTCATGATGACCTGGACACCGCATCCCTGAGACTCCATGAAGCCGTTTCGCGTGGTGGTCGTGGGACGTGACATCTCGGCGGGGGTACGGCCGTGGGCAAACTCATCCAAGCTGTTGCTGGTGGCCTTCATGTTGGCAAACTCATATGAACCCTCCTCACCAAAGTCGTCAAAGCCACCGACCAGACAGATGCGGGCCTTGCCTTCCAGAATCGTCTCCACACCAATGTCAACAGACTCGATAGCGGTAGCGCAAGCACCGACAGGAGTCTTGATGGGACCGGACGAGGAGAGCAGCAGCATGTTGACCCAGGCAGACATGGTGTTGATGAACGACTCCTGCAGGATGTCGTTCTGGAGGGGCTTGTCGAGGAATCGCGCCTTGTGCATGCCGCGCAGAGCCTTGGCACCACCCATACCGGAGCCGACAATGTTACCGACCTCGGAGACGTGAACGTACTTGTAGAACTCGTACGGGTCGGTGATACCAGACGACAACAGAGCTTCGGCAACCGACACGAGGAGGAACAGGGTGACGGGGTCCACCTGGCTGATGATGTCTTCGGGAACACCATATCGCTTGGGGTCCCAGCCGGTCGGGATCTGACCAGCGACCAGTCTGTCAAAGCGCAGAGCCTTGGGGATCCAGAGCGAGGCGCCCTTTTTCACCCGGATAATGTACTCTCCACTCTCGGGGATCTCAAAGATCTCGACCTTGTCACCGTGCTCGCGCTGGAACTCCTCGGCCGTCTCCTTGGAAGCCTCAAACGGCTCAAGGTCCTCCTGAATGACGACCTCGTGGAGCAGCTGCTTCTTGTTGGGGTCGTATCCGTCGAAGAGCTCGGGCTCGATCAGGCGGATACCGGAGTGCTCCAAGATGTGCTTCTCGTACTTTTGCTTGACATCCTTGTCATCGACGGGCTCGCCAGTCTTGGCATCCACCCAGCCGGCGTAGGGCTTGCCCTTGAGGGGACCGTTGTGGTTCTTGATGAGGCCCATGATCCAGGCCATCTCGATGCAGCCCTCGAGCGAAAACTCGCCATAGGCCTCCATCTCCCATCGGGTTCGGGAGTTACCCCAGGGGCCGACTTCGGCAAAACCGGTCACGACGACGACCTTGTCCAAGTCGACCATGCCCTTGAGCTGCTCATTGAGAGGAGCCACCTCCGTCTTCCAGTCGGGAAGGCGGGGGAAGTCGCACTTGATGTTGGCACGGGGCTCGATGGTCTTCTTCTTGTAAAGAACCTCGGAGTCGGCTCCGTTGACAATGGTGTTCTCGATGGCGCTCTCCTTGGAGACGGCTCTGCGGATCTCGCTCGTCTCCATGATGTCCTTGCGAAGCTTGGTCATGGATTCGTTCAAGTTGGGGATGAACTGCAGACCGCCGTTCAAGTCGGCAAAGACGGGCTCGGACTGGCAGAGATCAACGATGGTAGCTGACATCAGGCCCAGAAGGTTGAAGGCCATCTCTTGCTGGGAAAAGGTTCGCACGCCAAAGGCCTCGACGCCCTCTGCGACCACGTTGTTGCCAGACATGAGACCAGTGCCACGAGTCCAGCCGATGACAGCACCGCAGATGGTGAGGTAGTGGCCCCAGTCCTCGGAGTGCCATCGGTTGAAGAGGGTCTCGAGAGCCAGCTTGGACTCGGAGTAGAGACCATCGTTACCAAAGGTGCCGTGGTTGGGAGACAGAGGGAGGACGACCTGGGCGGGACGGGTCTCGAAGCCGCGCTCAGCCTTTTGCGTCTTGACGCAGCCGAGCATGCGGATCAGGTTGGTCAGCATGATGCGGTGAGCAAGCTCCGACTTGGAGTCGATGTTGTCAATCTGTCGGCCGTTCTCGGGAATGGCGGCGAACGGGACGATGTAGTCGAGATCCCAGCCAAGACCGTTCTTGGTGTCGTAGATGTAGTTGACGAGGGCCTCCACATCCTGCTTGCTTCCCTGGTTGAAGGGCACCACGACAATCTGAGAGCCGCGGGAACCAAAGCGTGCGTACATGGACTGGTAGTACTCGGTGACCTGTCGAGAGAACCGACTCGTGGTGACCACAACCTTTGCACCTCCGCTGATGAGGCCCTGCAGGACCTCGGCACCAATGGAGCCGGCACCGGCACCCGTCATCAGGACATACTTGTCCTGGAACGTGACACCGTCCTTGGCAGCCTCCTCAAGGCAGTTGAGGTAGACGGCCGTGAGCTTCTTGCTGTAGTCCCAGCCATGCAGGGACTTGCGCTTGAGGTGGAGGAAGGGGATCGTCTCGACTCTGCCCTTGTTCGGGCTTGAGCCCTTGAAGCCTGGCTTCCTGCCCTTGCCGTTCTCCTTGGGGATGATCTGGCTCTCGTTCATGGCCAGGGAGCGCAGAACATCGCCGTACAGGCTCTTGATCTCGAGCTGAGAAGTCTTGGACATCTTGTGCTGCTGCTTGATCAACTTGTAGATACGCTGCAGGTCGTTCTGCACCTTGGTGCGGTTGCCATACTCGGAGATCTTGCCACCCTCGGCCATCTGCTGAACGTAGTGCTCGAGCTTCCGGCAGCTGGCGCGGGGAACTTCCTCGTAGTTGAGGTTGCCGCGGGCGTCCACGGTGGTGCGAGGACCAGTGGGGACAGCGACGTCCTTGTAAGCAGGAGGCAGGTTCAGAACCTCCTTGCAGTTCTCAATGAGCTGCTGTCCGAGCT